AATAAGGCAAAATTTCTCAAAATCCAGAAATTACTTTTCTCACATTTACCCTGCCCACAATTTCCAAAAATCAAAACTTGCCTACATCTTATAGTTTTTGAGTTATTGATGGACAGGCATATCTACCATTCCCCTTATGTCTGGATAAAATTTGGCATACCGATAGATTGGTGCCAAAAAACAATAGTTGCAAAATTTTTTATTTTGTTCTAGCTCTATTCTACGATTTTTAATAGTAAATAAACGACTACGCACAATTTTGTCAAACACTTTATTACTGTTGTATTTTGTAATAATATTTTGTAATATATTGTTATGATGTAAGTGATTGCAATCAATACAATTATGAAACATACAGAATATTCTGTGAATATAACATATGTTAATAATTTATTCCTATATAATGTTTATTAAAAATAAAAGAGGTTGCACAATAAATAGTGTACTACAATAGCTGCAATAATGTTATCTATAGCAGACATTTATAATAAATATGAAAAACTTTTATAACTTTATTAACTTTACAATCAAAGAAATTAATGTATCATTAAAATTCTGTATTTAATAATCATCAAATAATTTATTTAATAAGTCAAAACAAATCACAAAAATGCGACAAATTAGATTCACATTAGATTACAGGAGTTCTGATTAACAGTGATAATATCGTTTAATTTAATATTACCAAGGTGATCGATGCCATAGTATCCGACATCGTAATAGAGTTTAAATGCAAAATACTCTGAACTACAGAGTGTGTGGTTAGAGGACAGTAGGGTCTGAAAGGACTGATCACTGATAGCTTCTAGAGATGTCTTGAGACCATTGTTGGCAAACACGGGAACCGTTTCGCAGCTCAAGAGCAGCCATTTGTACTGTTCCTGTGCTGTCCGCCACTCATCCCTTCCCATGAAGTCATTGATCACATGTTTTATCATTGAATAATCTTTATGTAGGAGAAACACCCGTTGCTCGAGGTATACGGGCGGAGGGGGTGGTAGTGTAGAGCTGATGGGTATGTCTCCCGACACCTCCCGGGGTTTGGTATACGCTATGCGAAGGATTCGATTGAAATCTCCGGTCTCTCGGGTGACAGACATCTGTTTCGTGTCAATCGATACCACTATTGAGTATATTATGAGATATATTAACAAAACTAATAACTTAAGTGTTTTAAAATTCAATAAATATTTACTTGACTTGAGTTTCACATCCAATGACATCGCACTACAAAAGTTTATTTCCGGGTTTTCGGACAACCATTTCGAGGCTTTCCGTAATCCACAGGACTGGGACTCGAACTTAGGTTTCCTAAACAAACCTTCTTCCAGATACTGGGGCACAAAGTCAGCCAACCCTACCTCCTCCTCATGTATGGGCCCCAACACATAGAAAACTCTCAATACGTATACGACATTTCCTACCCATGAGTTAGACACAGATGACCCAGAGTCCATCTGCCAGTCCTGAGTGGCACTACACGCTAATGTCTGGATGTTCAACACTTTTCCCGTAATCTCTTCGGCATTAATGGCACCGTTAAGTCGCGCCACCACCTCATCGATGCTTTCAAACCTATTACTACATGAGTCCAGAACCCGAGGTCCAAAGTCGCGGAACTGTATCTGCGGAACAATGGGTCGAACCTTCTCATTGTATTCATGGCTATCAAACGGTCGCACCCATAGCCTCAACAGTTTCACCCGAAAACATGTCGTTCCCGCCAACAGATATGTATTATACGGCGCCCCCGATTGACTTAATAGGCTCTCATCGTTGATAGAGTAAATGGTCAGTAGTTTTTTGGCTATTACTCGACCACCATCAGTGAACTTGATCATAATTATGGCGCCTACAGTCTCGCACGATATGACATCCCATATCTCTCGCTTCTGTAGCCAATTGTTTGCGAAGTCTAGTACTTCACTGGTTATAAAATGAATTATTTAATTAAACTAGCTTGTTTAGTCTCAAATAATCTTAAACTCAATATAACTTTTTTGATAGTTTCAATTTAGTTCGCCTAGGTTACAGTAGCACCTAGCAACATGGTATTTATAAACAAATGAGTTAAATCACTTAAATTGCACACCATGATGCAATTTATTACAAATAATGCTAAATATACTATAATATATTTAAAAATTATCAACTATATAGACTAGCTACTATTAACTATAATTAATACTTTTAAAATATAATTACGAGTATTTAACAAGTGGTACACCCCATTGATAATATTTAAGTACAGGTGCGAAGTCAACAAATGTTAACCGACAGTCCTCGAGGGCTGGTAGGTCCTCGTCAAAGACCACCACATCGTCGATATGCCTAACGCCGTATATATCCCGATCCCCACCGTATGAATGAATTCCTCTATATGTAAGTATAACCATCACTGCTCCCTACCGTTCCCTTAATATCTCACAAAAGTAAGTGGTACTAGTAATACTAGTATTGCATTTATTGCAACTATTCATACCTATTTGTATATGTACTTGTTTAATAGTTTGGTTTATGGTGTTAGGTATACATGCGCTCAAAGTGTTACTTACCATCGTATGTCATATTTGTCAATATAATTATGTATTTATGAGAATATTATGTGTTTAATATGTTTCCCTTGATTACATACATGTATTAAAACACCTTGTTAAGATTATTTGCGAACTGTTTCTAAAATAATTAAATAAAAGCAGAAATACCACAAAGCTAACAATTTTTATAAAGTGAATATTATTATTTTATTTATATAGCTTATTAAGTAGACGGATTATTTAATTGTTATTTTATGTCATTACTCTTAATTATAACATTGAATATATTATATTTTAATTTTCCAAATTTATTAGTATTAATGTTTAGTGTTGCGCTTACATAATGTAATAAACATAATAATTTTCAATTATAAGGCAGTGTAATAAATATAAACAATTTTATCGTATAATAACTTATAAGAATTTCAAAAATTATTTTTATAAGCATAATTCACATAATTATAAAGGGTATAAAAATATATAATTAAATTCATTGATAATGTTGTGTATGTACAGAGTTTATATTAGCATAGTTAACATAGTTAATAATTTTAAAAATTAGTAGTAATTTTTATCAAGATAAAATTCACAACAAATCATTTTCAGTCACATTGTTATACAGGATTTTTTGCTACCTGTGCTCTCAGTTTCAATTTTAGTAGTATCCAGGCTATCAATACCATAGTATCCGACATCGTAATAGAGTTTAAGCGCAAAATATTCCGTACGACTGAGGGTTAGGTTAGAGGACAGGAGGGCCTGAAAGGACTGATCGCTGTTTGACTCCAACGATGTCTTGAGACCATTGTTGGCAAACACGGGAACCGTTTCGCAGCTCAAGAGCAGCCATTTGTACTGTTCCTGTGCTGTCCGCCACTCATCCCTTCCCATGAATTCATTGATCGCACGCTTGACTTCACTGTAACTTTTATGTAAGA